TGAAACATGGAGGTAACGCCTTTGAGTCCTTAGAAAAATGATGCCCTTCTTTTGAGTGGCATTATGTTTTCATATGCCTGGTGGTTTTTCTTTTCTGACAAAGAACTGTCAGGAAACGTCGAGTCAGATTCTTTTGGAGATCAGAGTGGGTTTTTGCCCAAATCCTCTTACCAGCAAAAAAAAAAAAAAAAAAAAAAAAAAGGACCAGCAAGGATGGGGGTGGGAGCCCTCATCCGAGATCTAGCTGATGGGAGTAAGTGATGAGGGGTGGTATGGCCTCAAGGATAGGTGGCCTTCCTCCCAGGGGTCTCATATAAGGAACAATTTGCTGAACCCCCAGACTGCTGGGGCAGGGTGCTCAGCAGACCCCCAACAGCACTCTGGCTGCCTCCCCTCTGCCTCTCACCCGGCCACCTGGCCTTCCCTCACCTTCTCTCTTCTGAACTAATGGCTTCTTGTAATTCATCCATTTTCGTACTCTCTTTCTCTGGGATTCTTTGAGGTCCTGGTGGTGAACGGTGAACAAACACTGTTGGTTCCTAGGGCTGACCCACATTTTCCCTTGTTTCTATAGGGGTCCCAGTGGCTTTTTTGAACACAAGGTTTCCAACCCTTGTTCTCCCACCCCATCTTGTCTACAACACTTAAGCAAGAAAAACAACACATGCACAGACAGCACTAGAAATTGAACTGATATGTAGCAGGAGTTACAAAGGGACTTGAAAACAATTATAGGGCATGCTAAGCCAATCAGCAAAGCGAGACAGAGACACTCATGAGGTTCTTGAATTTTAGAGTTTGATTTCTGCCTCTTTCTCTTTCTCTCTCTTTCTCCCCCCATGGGGCTCGCCGTGGCAAAGGATGTTTCTGGGTATGCTCGTCAGTGTTTATTTGGCTAGGAATAGTCATACAGATATAGTCCTGTTTATCTGAGAGAATAAAAGTGTTGTGATGTTTCTTCCTACTTCTGTTTCCTTGTCCTCTTGCATTAAAAAAAAATTTTTTTTTAATTTTTTTTTTTTCAACGTTTGTTTATTTTTGGGACAGAGAGAGACACAGCATGAACGGGGGAGGGGCAGAGAGAGAGGGAGACACAGAATCGGAAACAGGCTCCAGGCTCTGAGCCATCAGCCCAGAGCCCGACGCGGGGCTCGAACCCACGGACCGCGAGATCGTGACCTGGCTGAAGTCGGACGCTTAACCGACTGCGCCACCCAGGCGCCCCCAAAAAAATTTTTTTTAATGTTTATTTATTTTTGAGAAAGAGAGAGACAGAGTGCGAGCAGGAGAGGGGCAGACAGAGGGGGAGACACAGAGCCGAAAGCCGGCTCCAGGCTCTGAGCTGTCAGCACAGAGCCCAACGTGGGGCTTGAGCTCGCCAACCGCGAGATCATGACCTTAGCTGAGTCGGACGCTCAACCCACTGAGCCACCCAGGTGCCCCCGCTTGTCCTCTTGCATTTACGTATAACTTCCCCAACCATATTGGGATTGATCAGGAAATGCCCTTCCCGGGAAGCATCTTCCCTCTTAGAACAGGATGGGCACCTGCTGTCACCTGGCAGCTGTCGGGAGTCATGCGGGAAATTTGCTGTAAGCCCCACGTCATCTGAGGTGGGACAGCCTCCTCCATACCCAGCCCAGCACCATCCCAACGTGGGTCTCCAGTGGGACTGTTCCTAACACAGTCACCCTGAAATGCGACCCGCTCACTGGAAAGAGTAGCAGTCGAGGGCCTGTGTCAGCACCCTAAATTGTTACTGAATCACCCCAAAAGAGCTGGGAAGGGCTGGATGACGCAGCCAAGCACGTTGTCTGGATTGCGTTCCCGTGTGGTCGTTGTCAAAGCTGATAGAGTCGTGGAATCTTCACTTGAAACATTTTACATGTGAGATTGTGCGTGTACATGTCGGTTCCACGTCTGTATGTGGATATACGCTTGTATGTACATGTATATGTGTGTTGTGTGTGTGTACATGTGTGTATTTGTGCAACGTTTGTGCATCTGGGACCAGAATGTGGTGTAGCTGCTGAGGAGTGAGGGAGACCTAGGAGTGCCCCCCTCCACCTGCTCGCGGAGCCCCCGGAGCCCCACAGCATGCAGTCTGGAACAACTCATCTCCTGTGGGCTGTGTGTGTGGCATCAGTGGTGGTGGTGGTGACGTTGTACATTTTCCCCACAAAGACCTGAAATGACCCGGCTCCGGGGTTGGCTTGTCTGGCCCTGTGCACTGGGGCTGCTGAGATATCACTGTCTAAGGGGAAATGTCCTCTCTTCCTATCGGACTAGCTTCTGAATCCTGGTCTGTTTGGACAACATGGAACTGAGTCTGTCTTTCGGTGTTCCTAGAACTTCTCTGAAAAGGCCATAACGGCTTGTCTGCCACACTTGATTAACTGAAGGGCCTTTCCGGTTCCGTGCAGCTGTCTGCGCCCCTCTCCTTGGGACCCTGTTCTTTTGCTTTAGGGGCTGGTGTTTTGGGCCTGCTGAACTTCTTGCACAAACCAGCTGCCCTCCGCCAAATGAGACTCTTCTGGCCCTGGTGTCATTTGCATATCTACTGGAGGAAGTGTCTCGAGAGCCAGCAGTGGAAGATAAGGGGGTAGCAGGGCGGAGCCACTCTTGGCATTTGTTGCTGGCTTTGCACAGGGGGCTGAGGCTGGAGGGGATGGCGACGGGGGGCTTGGACTGGGGTCCTGGGGCCGTCCTCCGTTTCTGGGACCTGTGCGGGAGGTGACGTGGCAGTGGCCTAGAGAGTCATCCCTGCCATCTCTGATATAAGCCAGGTGTGCTGTCAGCTCAGGCTCTGGAGACAGGGTGCAGGTTGCTGAGAATTCAGAGATGAGACAAGACAGGAAAAGAAACTTCCCTGTGAGAGCTGAACCAGGTGGAAGTGAAATTACGCAAAACATTCTCTAAAACTTTCTTGAAATATCCATTGGTTCAAAAGCCAAAAAAGATTGTAAAATTGACCACATAAAATCGTAAAACACAGCTAAAAAAAAAAAAAAAAAGTCCCATGAGCACTGTCAATGACAACTCCAAAATAGTGTAGCATCTATCAAAGTCTGGCAAATAAATAAACAAAAGATGATCTTAAAAAATGTAATTCGCAGAAAATGTCAGTTTGTAAAAAGAAATTCGCAGAAAAAGAAAGACAACTATGAAACGTAAGAGAACGCGTTCAACCTTCCTCATAAAGAAAGGCAGATTAAAGTAAGCGATCATTTTTCTTTCACCTCTCAGATTTGCAAAGATTGAAATGTCTGATAACAGCCAGTTGGCAGGGTGTGGGGAAACAGACATATCCGGTTAGTGGGAGAAAAAAGTGACACAGCCTCAGGGGAAGGCAATCGGCAGTCCCTGTCTCAAAATCTAGAGCCCATGTCCAGCTCTTCTTGTGCCGACCTCCCCACAACCGCTAGTAAATGTCAGCACGTGCAGGGTTTAGCGTGCTCCAGGCATATTCAAATGCTTTTCAGGGGTGCCAGGTGGCCCAGTGGGCCAAGCATCTGACTCTTGATGTTGGCTCAGGTCATGATCTCACAGTTCGTGAGTTCAAGCCCCACGTCGTGCTCCTTGGAGTTCTCTGTCTCTCCCGGCCACGTGCATGTGCTTTCTCCCTCTCCTAAATAAATAGACATTAAAAAACGAGAAGAAATGCTTTTCGTACGTTAACTCACTTAATCGACACAGCAACAGGTAGGTGTTGTTACTGTCCCCGTTGTACTGACGGGGAGGCTGAATCTGTGACTTCACCAGTGCATGTGAGATGTAGGCACAGAGATGATAAAAAGTTGAGAAGTAACTACTCATCTCTCATCATAGGCTGGTCAAATAAATGATCACACGACCACATGGTGGAACATGAGTTGGGAAGAATTCTAAGGTTTTTTTTTTTGTTTTTTTTTTTGTTTTTGGTGAGAAAAGCAAATTTCAGAACAGCATGTATACTATGATATTATTTGCATTTAAATTTTTTTTTTAATGTTTATTTATTTTTGAGACAGAGAGAGACAGAGCATGAATGGGGGAGAGTCAGAGAGAGAGGGAGACACAGAATCCGAAGCAGGCTCCAGGCTCTGAGCTGTCAGCACAGAGCCCGACGCGGGGCCTGAACTCACAGACAGCGAGATCATGACCTGAGCCGAAGTCGGACGCTCAACCGACTGAGCCACCCAGGCGCCCCGATATTATTTGCATTTAAAAAGACAGGGACATATAAGCTTGCATGTCTGTTTAAAAGTTCGGAATGGCTTACAAAAAGGAGTAGTAAATCTAAGAAGTGGGGCTCCACAGGAGCAGGAGAAGGAGACATTTATTTTTCATCCTTTACCTTTCTGCATGGTTTTTTTTTTTTTAATTTTTTTTTTTCAACGTTTTTTATTTATTTTTGGGACAGAGAGAGACAGAGCATGAACGGGGGAGGGGCAGAGAGAGAGGGAGACACAGAATCGGAAACAGGCTCCAGGCTCTGAGCCATCAGCCCAGAGCCTGACGCGGAGCTCAAACCCACGGACCGCGAGATCGTGACCTGGCTGAAGTCGGACGCTTAACCGACGGCGCCACCCAGGCGCCCCTCTGCATGGTTTTAAATTTTTAAAAATCGGGGTATAATTTTAAGATCTAGTTACCCAACACATATAAATGTTGAGCAAAGTGCCAGGCACCCAGGAGGGGCTGAGTAAGTGAAACTCCTGTAACGAAGCTATGTCTTGATGGCGGATTCCTTTAAATCAGACCACAAAGCTGTCAAGCACCAACATAAATCACGCGCAAAAGACCCCACTGCCTTTCTTCCTAAAGTTCCTTGGGTGTGGAGGGGGCGGGGAAGGGGGCTTGGTGCAGGACTGCTCTATGTCAAGGCCGATCTCCACCTCGGTATGATCGGCTCCAAAGTTCAGAGACATCATGCCCAGATTCCTCCAGACAGGTCAGGAATTCTCCAGAGAAATGAATTCTCTTGCATGGGTTCTGATAAAGTCTTTGGTCTATTTCAGGTATCGGAATTGTGTTTACACGTACAGGATCCTGCCCAATGAAGATGATAAATTCACTGTCCAGGTAAGCCCTTTATCAACCTAGACAACTGGCCCTGCGCAGAGCCCATGTTGGCAGAAGTAGGTGACAAAGAAGAAGAAGAGAAGAAAAGCCTGTGCCCCAGACAGCCTGGACATGAGGGCCCGGCTGAGCCTCTTTCTCCCCCAGAAGTCTGTGGTTGGGGGTGGCTTAGTGGCTAAACTATGATCCTGCAGAGTAACCCCGCTCTGTGACACGAGGAAGCAGGCCTGACAGACATTAACTTGTGTTCCTGAGTGCAAAGGAGAACGATGGTGAGGAAGGATGCCCAGAGACAGAGGAAGGGGACTGTGGCTTGTCAATTCTTTCCTTCAGTGAGCTCAGCTGAGTGAAGGTCAGCGGGCCAGGGAGGAGAGGAGGGGGAACTTCCAGGAGAACAGACCGTTTTTCCTGAGGGACTAGATGATTGCCCGGTGGGTTAGCGTGAGATGGTAACTTTCACTTCACAGACGCCTGTTCTGCCCAAGGCTGATGCTCATGGCATCTGGCTGCAACAGGTAAAGTCCAAGTGTGTAAAATTTGCCGTTAAATGTTAACAAAGAATCAGCTGCACAAGTCTTTCCAAGTCTGGAAAGACCACCCTACACATAGTTTGCATGACAAACACCACGGGCTCTGTGTGACCGCAGTGCATGACAACCAAGTGAGGTGGAGGCCAGGGGAGCTATTTTTATCTGGCTGCTTTAAGAGAGCATGGGGGTGGTCAGAACAAAGGAGGTGATGCTCTCAGTGTCCTCAGCAGGGACAGAGGAGTCATGCTCAGTTCTCGAGAGGCACCAACAAATGGGGTGCACCTGTGTGTGGAGCAGAGCGGAGGAATAGAGCAGGGCTGGGACACCGTGTCATGTAGGAGCAGCAACGGGGTCTGTGGGTCTTTCTTTTAGCTGAAAAGAAAGTAAAAGTGGAGGAAGAGAGGTGGGGCCCTATCGTTGATTCCAGAACGTGAAGGGAAGGATGCATTTTGTGCAGAACTAGATGCAGTTGTGAAAACAGGGCTGGACTAGAGGGCAGGACAGCAGGCGAGTCCCTGGGGCACAGGTCACTGGAAATGTGTCAAGAGGGAGAAGCTGTGTGGAGTGGAGCACCTCTGGGGAGAAGCTGTGTGGAGTAGAGTGCCTCTGGGGAGAAGCTGTGTGGAGTAGAGTGCCTCTGGGGAGCCTGTTTACAGGGTCAAAGGAATCACTTCAATGAGCCACTTGTCAGAGAGTGATGTCCTAAGGGCATGCTTGAACCAACCCAGGGGGTTGTGAAGCTGCCTCCTCAGGCAGCTGGGGCTGTTTGGTGCAGGGGCTTCTGGGAGATACAAGTTTGGGCTCACTCGGAATTACTCCACCCGGTAGAGGTCAGGCTGAGAGCCGCTTTTGGCTTCTTCGTCCTTTCCACATGTGCACCTACACCAGTATCTGAAGAGTATCCATCTGAAGAGTTTTGGCTAGCCTGGGGTGTCCCCCTGTCTCGGCTTGGTCACCAGGGATGAATGCTAGCACATCTAGTACAAGACTGTCCGTTCATGTCCCTGGCAGCCGCTGACCACTGGTACGGTTGTCTCTCACGTGGGCTCCTCGCCTGCAGGGTGAGGCCCTCGGGGAGGCCCGTGTGGGGCGGGCAGTGGGCCTCAGCGGCCTCTACAACTTTACATATGTCTAGGACCGTGTGAACTTTCCTGGCCGGGTTGGCATCCCTGACAGGTGGTTTGCTGAAAGGAGTCTACACTCTCTTAAGTTAAAAGTTGGTCAATGCTTTTGATCTTTTTTTCCCCTTGTGGTTTCTTCTTTTCCTTCAAAGGGCAGAAGACTTTAAATATGACTAGGCCTTAAGCTGGAAAAGACACGACTTTGTGGCTTCTTGTATATACAGCAGTACCCACGACCTGTAAACACGTATAGACTGCGTCTAGTGTGCCCCGCCCCCCCCACTCACCTTCACGCCCTTGCTGCTGGGTGGCCTGTGTGGCTGTGCGTGGCGGGGTGGTGGGGCACCGAGGGAGAAGGCCTGGCCTGGGACCAGAGGGCTTGGGGCCCTGCACCCGGGTGCAGCCTGCCGCGACTCAGCCCTTCTCTGTGGGTCTGCTCTTTCTCCCACCAACAGGTGCACTTCTCAGTTCCAGTCCCCAGAGGTAATCCGGGTGGCTCAGCCAGCAACAGCTTTCTCTGCACAGTCCACTCGGGGGCCACGGGCCTGTGTGTGAACGGGCTGCCTGAGCCACTACCTGCCCCATAGTCAGAGTGTGAGGACAGAGGGTTACCTGAGACGACGCTCAGCCAGGGCGATGGGTGGGCAGGTTCCCTAGAAGAGCTGGGGTCCTGCTGGACACGCGTGCTCCCGACCCCGGCACTGGGCCTGCGACCTCTTTGGTGGCCAACAGCAGGTCACCAGGGTGCGGGGATCCGTGAGGACTGGGCAGCCTGTGGAAGCTTCCACGCCTAAGGATACACCTTCCTATAAAAAGACAACACCTTACCGAAATAACGAGAGTAGCTGGCTGCTGAGGAGCCAGTTAAAGCACGTGCGCCATGAGGTGAAGTCAGAGACTCGACGTGGCCTCGGTCCTCGCCAACTGCCGCTTACTTTGACTCTGGTTCCTCTTTTCATGTCGAGGCAAAACCTCATACTCTTTTCTGAGCTGAGCCACAGTTTCTAAATAACTCATTCCTTACACCTGAGTCTGCTCAGTGCCACCAGAATGTGAGGCTCCTAAAATAAGAATCGGGCCTGAAAAACTTGGCCAAGTGAAGCGGCAAAGGCTTTACTGGCTTTCTCATGTTAATTGCGTCCGCTCTTCTCCTGGGGCTTCTGTCTTTTTGGCAAAACCAAAGGGCCACTCCTGGTCCATCCGTCCGTTCTTTGTAGAGGGACCTCATGATGAGTGCATCATGACCCGCAAGAGGAAGCAATCCTGGCCCTCTGTGACCTTGCTCTCTCTCCACCTTTCTCAGGCTTCCAGATAATCAGAGAGGGGAGGGAAGGATGTAAACTAACTTCGTTCAACGCCCCCCCACCCCCACCCCTGCTGTTAAGTACAAGCGTGGCTGACGCGTACAGACAGACGGTGGAGCTCAGACCCGGGTCTCCACCCCAAAAGCGTGTCCAGACCTGGCTGGGTGTTGGCCCCCTGGGAAGGGTGGACTCTGGCAAGGGAGGATGAGGAGGCAGGGCCATGTGGCCTCTCAGAGAGAGAGGCTTCTCTTCCTTCCCACGGTTGTTGATGACACTGGTCGTCACTGGCATTTGGGCCTCGTGGCGAATCAATGAGGCACCTGGCACTAAGGCAGGAAAGCATAAAACGTGTAGAACACCCACCCGGGTGACCGGCTGACGTGGGGGAGCCATCACCTCCGCCACTGCTGTCTTTATTGGCTGAGAGCAAACCAACGTAAGTCAGTCCTACCTTATGCTCAGGTGAGGGGAGGGAAGGAAAAATGGAGGAAATGAGATGGAAAGATGGGGGGAGAAAGACAATGGAGAGACAGGGAAGAAGGAAAGAGAAATGAATGAGAAAAAGAGGAAGAGGAAGAAAAAAGGAAGGAAGGGAGAGGAGTAGAGGTGGGTGAGGGGGGGGCTGTTTTGACAGAAGACAGCGTGGAAATAGGTGTGGGGCAGAGCCAGCAGAGAAAGGGGAGGTGGGGAGAAGGGGAGGCGGTATTCTAGAAGATTCTAGGCAAGTGCCTAAGGGTGGTGGGAAGGGGGCAGATCTTGTGGTGACCAGTCCCTCTCTGCTCTGCTCCTTGGGCTGTGGATTTCTGTGTCTCAGTTACCTCAGGGGCCTGAGAGAGGGGTGTTCAACACCCTCTCTGCCCCCCAGGGCCTGAGAACCTTCTGGTCCTCAGGGGTGGGCAGTGCTCAGAGCCCTGTGTGAGGCCAGAGGAAGGCACACCAGCTCAGCCCCTCACGCCTGAGTTTCCCAGGCCCAGAGCTTGGGTTTCTTGTAAAGCCCAAACTCCTTTTCTGACTTGGAAAGGGAAGCGAGACTCCTCTGAGGAGCATTGACTCCAGAATGAGCTGTTAGGCCTCTGTGGCTTTTAAAATGGCCCTCCTCTGTGGGAGATGACGGACAAGTTTGAAGCAGCACGAGTGGTCCTGATGGGCCAGCCTGAGCGTGAGCAAGGGGAGAGAGGAGGCTCACGACATGCTCATAAATGGCTATCCCAAAGCCAACACCACAGTCGAAGTCCACACAGTCCTTTCAGCTGTATTCCTACAACCCCTCAACCTTTGCCCTTGTTCTGACATCCTTCCTACCAAGAAGAATAAAGCAGAAAATAAAAACGGCCCCTGGTCCCCGTCACATCAGTGTTTGCGGTGAACTTCCTGTCTTTTCTCATGGTTGAGACCGTATCCAGGATATGGACTGTTTAAGACAGGAACACGCACGAGTTTTAACGCAAGTTTAAGTGAAGACGGAATGAATTTGAAACTCTGCCTCATAGACTCTTTCGGTCTTCTTTCCTGATTTAGAAGAAAAAGCCCAGTGGCTCAAGCCGCTCGGGTGAGAGGCTCATGACTCAGTTCCTGGTCCCTGACAGTGGCTGTCATGTTGCTCTGGGCAGTGTGGCTTTTGGAGACAGAAAACAAAACAACTTTCTAAAAGTTGTTCATTCGTCACAGTGTCCCGGAGGGTAAACGGTTGAGCCATTGTTATTAAGTTCAGGAAGAGGGTGGTAGCTGTTATTGTTCTGAGTGGTCACCAAGTGCAGCAAAGATTCCATCTGAGCTGCTGGGCGAAGGATGTGGCTCTAACACACATTTCCTGACATTGCACAACGAGAGGGAGCAGAGAAGGTGCAGGCAGCAAAAGACACCCCGGGGCCATGCAGAGGGCAGTGGGCCTGGTGGGGGCCCAGCAGTCCCTTCAGGCCTTGAAGGCCACATTCTAGAAGCCTGCATTTCTTTCCATTGAATTGAATTGGCTTGAACTGCACCGAATTGACTTTATTTTGTGAATTTTTCAAATTTTGCTTGCTGCAGAACGCAGGCCAGTTTTCTAA